ATTTATTTATTTGACAGAGAGAGACACAGCAAGAGAGGGAACACAAGCAGGGGGAGAGGGAGAAGCAGGCTTCCCACTGAGCAGGGAGCCCGATGCAGGGCTCGATCCCAGGACCCTGAGATCATGACCTGAGCCGAAGGCAGACGCTTAACAACTGAGCCACCCAGGTGCCCTCTAGCTTCACTCTTTTGCATATTCATATTCTGTTGTCCCAGTACCATTTGTTGAAAAGACTGTTCTTTCCTCTGTTGAATTGTCTTGCGACCCTTGTTGAAAGTCAGTTGACCTTAAATAGATATATAGGTTTTATTTTTGGACTGTAAGTTGTTTTTTGTTTTTTGGGTTTTTTTTTTTTTGTTTTTCAGATTTATTTGTTTTATTAAAGAGAGTGGGGGGAGGGGCAGAGGGAGAGAATCTTCAAGCCGACTCCCTGCTGAGTGTGGAGCCTGATACAGGGCTGATCCCATGACCATAAGCTCATGACTTGAGCTGAAAGCAAGAGTCAGATGTTTAACAGACTGAGCCACCCACGTGCCCCTGGACTCTTAAGTTTTATGTCTCTCTGTATGCTAGTACCACACAGTCCTGATTACTGTAGCTTTTTAGTCAGTTTTGAAATTAAGTATGGGTCCTCTTTGAAGATTGTTTGCGTATTCTGGGTCCACTGCATTTTCCATATGAATTTTGAAATAAGTTTCTCAGTTTCTGCAAAAAAGGGGGAGAGGGCATTAGAGATTTTGACAGGGATTGCATTAAATCTGTAGATCAGTTTGGGGAGTGTTGCTGTCTTAATAGTAGTAAGTCTTCCGATCCATGAATATAGGATATCTTTCTATTTATTTTAGTCTTCTTTAATTCTTTCAGTGATGTTTTATAGTTTCAGTGTATAAATCTTACACTTCTTTTGTTGCATTTATTCCTAATTTATTGTTTTTGATGCTGTTGTAAAAAGAATGTTTTCATAATTTCATTTTCAGATTATTCATTGCTAGTATTTAGAAATATGTTTGATTTTTGTATTTTCAACTTGAATCCTGCAACCTTTTTGAACTCATTCTAGTAATTTTTGTGTGTGTATTCCTTAGCATTTTCTATGTACAAGGTCATGTCATCTGCAGAATGAGATAGTTTTACTTACTGCTTTCCAATGCCATTTATTTCTTGCCTAACTCCCTTGGCTAGAATCTCCACTATAATGTTGAGTAGAAGTGGCAAGAGCGGACATCCTTGCCTTGTTCCTGAGCTTATGGAAAGGTATCCAGTCTTTTACCCTTATATATGATAGTAGTTATAGATTCTTCATAGATACCTTTCACTGAGTTCAGGAAATTTCCCTTCTATTCCTAGTTTGTTGAATGTTTTTATCATGAAAAGGGTTTGGATTTTGTCCAATGCTTTTTCTGTGCCCATTGAGATACCATGTAGTTGTTTTGTTTTTTTGTTCTATTAATACAGTGTATTACACGGATTGATTTTCATTTCTTGATGAACTATTCTTGCATTCCTGAGATAATGTGTACTTGGTCATTGTGTACAATCCTTTTCATATATGGCTGGATTCAGTTTGCCAGTATTTCATTAAAGATTTTTGCATCTGTATTTATAAAGGATATTGGCTATAATTTTCTTATGATACCTTCTTGTGGATTTAGTATCAGGATCTCATAGAATAATTGGGAAGTATTCCCTCCTCTATTTTTTTTTTTTTTTAAGAGTTTGTGAAGTACTGGTTTTAATTCCTCTTTAAAGTTTGATAGAATTTACCAATGAAAGCATCTGGTTATGGGCTTGTGGGAAGTTTGTTGATTACTAATTCATCTCTTTACTTTTTTATAGGTCTATCAAAATTTTGTATTTTTTGAGTAATGTTTTAAATTAAAAAAATATAAAGCAAGTGTAAAGTGGTAAGTATGTATAAGGTAGTCTGGTAAAGCCCAAATTGTGTATAAAAATGTGTCCTCCTACTTCACGGGAATTCAGTTTGAAACTTACCATTTAACAATTCAGTTTTTTAAAACATGACTTTTCAAAAGAGTGTTGTTAATGTCTTTTTATTTGAATTATTTTAAATACATCAAATATTTTGTATTTCATAATGGCTTGGAATTTAAGGGTTTGGTGTTTGTTTTTGTTTTTGTTTTTGTTTTATTGCTTTTATCTCAGCAGCAATGCAGCAAGTGTTGGATAACCTTACGGAGCTGCCCTCATCTACAGGAGCAGAAGAAATAGACCTAATTTTCCTCAAGGGGATTATGGAGAATCCTATTGTAAAATCACTTGCTAAGGTATAGTGGTTTATTCATAAGCTTACTAAATTATTTTTAAATTGTCTTTACAGAGGTCTTTTCAGATATTGCTGTTTCAGAACTTAATATGCCTTTGGTGTAGTTAGCAAATAATAATACTTATCACATAATGAAATCTTCATGCACACGAAAATTAGACTACTTTTGCCTTTCCTGCGCTGACTTTAAATACAAGATAAAACAACTCTTAGTTTTAGCCTAACACATTTAAAGTTTTAGGGAAATTTTAACTGAATAGTCATATTATAACAGGACTTATGAAAAGGATCCTGGTACTATCTCCGTTTCAGCAACAGCAAAATACTGATGTTCTTCTTTTATATTAGACTGTGTGCCTGTTTTTCATTTTGGTTCTTGACTTCCTCTGTCTAGTACTTTTTGAAATCTTGTTTTCTCTTGGATAACCTTGATATTTCAAGTCTGTTTCTGTAATCAGCTCCCTAGTAGTCTCCTTAACTCGTCTGTAAATATGCTTTTACAACTATTCTTAGTCCAGTTTTATTTCACTTACACTATTTCCTGTATTAATTTTTAGAAACATCACTAAAGCCCGGTGTGTTAACTACTTCACAACCGTTCTTCAGCATTCCTTCAAATGATTCTTGCTTTCAGAAATCTGTGCCACATGCCCTCTCTGGCCTTTCCTTCATGGAGTCATCTTGTCTTTCCATTTGCTTTTTGTACTCCCAGTATGTTGATTTCACCCTCTCCCATAATCATTTTTTAACCACAGTCCATTAATTTTTTTTCTTCTCCCTTGTGAAAAATCATACCTTTTACAGACTTTTTCATTTGTAAAAGTGAGCCAGTAATGCAGATTCTTCATTTTATTCACAAACTTAATCATTCTAAGATCACATGATATAAAACCTTTGGCTCCTAAGTAAAAACTAATCTAGTTGTATATCACCCAACTGGAATTTTTATTTTAGTCATTTTTTTTTAAGATTTATTAGAGAGAGAGAGAGCGTGAGTGTGAGCCGTGGGAAGGGGGAGCAGAAGGAGAGGGAGAGAGAATCCTCAGGCAGAGTCCCCTCTGAGCAAAGAGCCTAATGAGGGGCTCCATCCAGGACTCCGAGATCATGACCTGAGCTGAAACCAGGAGTTAGCTGCTTGACTGACTGAGCCACCCAGGTGCCCCAATTTTAGTCATTTTTGATTGCAGTTTTTCCAAAGTTTATCAGATAGTCCTTTATCTTAATAGTAATATTATAGGATATGAATTTACTTTCAAGTTCAAGCTCTTGTCACAAATACCAATAACCATACTCTGTCAAGATAGAGTAATAGTTTCAGGGTCTATTGAAATATGTAGGGGCTATTTAAGCCTGTATTAACTAGCTAACCCTTAGCTCTAATTGGTACTTTTTAAAATAGTTTTTGACTCTTCCTTTGATATCATAATGTTGGTTGTCAGTTTTTATCATTAGTATCTATTACACCCATGTCCCCATATTTATTTATCATTGATCTGTAGATTTAGAACCTAGATAATAAGGCATCTTACAGTGTGTTTGTAATTCACAGAGATCTTTAAAATATATTGTTTTGTCTTCACAACAATTTATTGAATTGAAAATCAAAGTAGAAGAATTATTTGTCTAAGGTCACTGTCCTAGTAAATTGACAGAGATGAGGTTTAGACCAGGTTTTCTTTCTTCAGATTCTGTGCTCTTCCTACTATAGCAAAGGTTTTGTGTGTATGTATATTCCTAAGAATTTCTGTGGGTAAAAAATTACTGTTATTCTGGCTTTTGTGCCATTGATATTGGCCTTATTGAGGATTATCTTGTTCATTATTCTCAACAGGTGAGATGGCTGGATGACTTTTAAGCAGCTCAGGTGCTAGTGTAATCTTCTGATGATAAAAATGAAATTAGGGGGCACCTGGGTGGCAAAGTCAGTTAAGTGTCCGACTTGGTTTTGACTCAGGTCATGATCTCAGTGTTGTGAGATTGAGCCCCATGTAGGGCTCAGCATGAAGTCTTCTTGGGATTCTCTCTCCTTCTCCCTCTGCCCCTCCCACGCATGCTCGTGCACTCTCTCTCTCTCTCTCAAATAAAATAATCTGTTTTAAAAATGAAATTAAGAACAGAATCAACCAATAGTATCCACCATTCAAAAGCAGTTTCTTGATAAATAGAATCAATGATAGCTTAGTATTCTAACAGTGAAAGAAAAGAAATCCCAAGAGGAAAGGAAGACTTCTACTTCCAAGAAAGAGATATTGAGTCACAGCAGGCCGACACTCCCAGTACAACAAGTAGAGAAAAATGGTTAAGTTACTGAGGAAACAGAGGCATATGTTGCTAGACACAGGGAGAGACAGGAACATGTGACTAATAATCATGAGAAAAATAACAGAAGCAGTTCTATAGATGATCCTTTTATTAGAGTTTATAAACAAATATTTTAAAATGTATTAAAATATTTTAAAAGAAGAGAAAATGAAGACATTTAAAATATTACTAGAAAATAGAATCAAAATCAATCAAGTGGTCATTTGTTCTGTCTTTTAGATTCCACATATAAGTGAAATCATGTGGCATTTGTCTTTGTCTGACTTACTTTACTTAGCATAATACCCCTTAGGCCCATCCATATTTTGCAAATGGCAAGATCTCATTCTTTTTTTATGGCCGAATAATATTCCATTGTGTATGTGTATGTATATATGTATGTGTATAAATACACATGTACCACATCATTTTTTTTTAAAGATTTTATTTATTTAGAGAGAAAGAGAGCGTGTGTGCATGAGCAGGGACAGAGTGGGGGTGGGGGAGCAGAAGGGGAGGGAGAGGGAGAGAATCTTAAGCCAACTCTGCACTGCGCCAGGGCAGGGCTCCGTCCCACAACCCTGAGATCATGACCTGAGCCAAAACCAAGAGTCAGGCACTTAACCAACTTAGCCACCCAGGTGCCCCCCATCATCTTTTTAAAACATTTTTCTTTTGAAATATAGTTGACACACAATGTTACATTAGTTTCAGGTGTACAACACAGTGATTGGACAGATGTCTACATTATGCTGTGCTCACCACTAGTGCAGCTACCATCTGTCACCATATAACACTATTTCAATACCGTTGGCTCTTTTCCCATGCTGCACCTTTTGTCTACATGACTTATTCCATAATTGGAAGTCTATATCTCCCTCTCCCCTTCAACTGTTTTGCCCATCCTTCCACCTACTTCCCCTCTGGCAATCATCAGTTTGTTCTCTGTATTTATGGGTCTGTTTCTGTTTTTTGTTTATTTTGTTTTCCAGATTCTACATGGAAGTGAAATCATACAGTATTTGTCTTTGTCTGACTTATTTCACTTAGCATAACACCCTCTAGGTGCATCCATATTTTGCAAATGGCAAGATCTCATTCTTTTTTTATGGCTGAGTGATATTCCGTTGTATATATACCACATCTTCTTTATTGATTAATCTATCAGTGATGTTTGGGCTGCCTCCATATCTTGGCTATTGTAAATAATGCTGGAATAAACATAGGGGTGCATATATCTTTTTGAATTAGCACATTTGTTTTCTTTAGGTAAATACCCAGTAGTGGAATTACTAGATTATGTGGTATTTCTGTTAATTTTGTGAGGGACCTCCATACTGTTTTCCACAGTGGCTGCATCCCATTTGCATTCCCACCAGCAGTGTACAAGGATTCCTTTTTCTTCACATCCTTGCCAACACTTATTTCTTATCTTTTGCTTCTAGTCATTTTGATAGGTGTAAGGTGATATCTCACTGTGGTTTTGATTTGCATTTTCTTGATGATTAGTGAGGTTGAGCATCTTTTCATATGTCTATTGGCCATCTGTGTGTCATCTTTGGAAAAATGTCTATTAAAGTCCTCTGCCCTTTTTTAAATCAGGTTATTTGGGCTTTTTTTGGTGTTGAGTTATAAGAGTTCTTTATATATTTTCCATATTAATCCCTATAGGATATATCATTTGCAAATATCTTCTCCCACTCAGCAGGTTTCCTTGTCATATTGTTGATGGTTTCAACAAAGGAACTGCAAGAGTTTTTACTTTGGTGTAGTCCCAATATACCACATCGTCTTTATTCATTCATCTGTCAATGGACACTTGGGTTGCTTCCATATCTTGGCTTGTTTAAGTAGTACTGCAAACAAACAGATTCTTAAATATAGAGAACAAACTGCTGATTGCTGGAGGGGCGGTGGGTAAGGGATGTGGGAAATGGATAAGGGAGATTAAGAGGTACAAATTTCAGTTGTAAAAAAAAAATAGTCTTGGAGATTAAAAGCTTAGGGAATATAGTCAGTGATATTGAAATAATGTATAATGACAGGTGGTGACTGTACTTATCACGGTGAGCACTGAGTAATGTGTAGATTTGTTAAATCAATGTATACCTATAATTAATGTAACACTATGTTAGTTATATTTTAAAAAACAATGAAATGGATATTCAAGGACTCAAAAATATATCTGAATTAAAAGCTCATTTGATGGGGTTAATAGATTAAACATTGCAGAGAAGGGGATCCATGAATTTAAAACAGTCCAGTAGTAAGTATCCAAACTGAAAATCAGTAACAAGTATGGAACATAAAGGAGAGAGAATAGGAGGAATACTCAAAAAGTTTGATATACATGTAATTGGTATCCCAGAAAGAGAAAAGGGGGAAATGGGACAGAAGAAATAGTTGAAGATACATAGCCAAAAATTTTCAAAACTGATGAACAGCATCAACTGATGATCCAAGAAGCAAAGTGAACCCCCCTGCAAGAGAAATATAAAGAAAAACATTATTTGGAACAACACAGTCAAATTCCTGAAAATCCAAGACAGAGTGAATATTTGTAAATTAGAGAAGAATACTTTTAAAGAGAAACAATAAGACTAATGGTTAGCAATAAAACAGGAACTATATATGTCAAAACAGAGTGCACTGAGATCATTATAAAGTTTTGAAAGAAAAACGCTGCCAACCTTGAATTCC